CCCTCTTCACCATAGCAACCACCTTATACCGGGAAAGTGTTATTCCATTTTCTTACCCAATTAATCCTTATCATGTTACTCTGTTAATACTTTTCATAGGTCAAGAGTTGATAAGGTTAAAACAACTTTCACTTTTAAATGTTAGTGATGTTATAGTTTGAATAATTTAGTCCTGATAATAGCATAGATGCTGAAACTATTCAACTCCGTGAAAACATTTTTAAAGTTATTTTTAGTTCCGGTTAATCTGGAGAGCAGGTTAAGTGGAGTCCTACTTCATAATTTTTTTTTTTTCAGATTGACTTGATCTAGTAAACAGTGCTGGCCTTAATGCCCACCACTTGTAGAGAATTAATAAAAAACACAAAGAGTATGAGAATAATAAATTTTAGCCTATTAAAAATGCAATTGAATTAGAAACTTATTGAATGAAATGTAATTTAAATATTACTTAATATAAAACAGTTTAAGAAATAGGTTTAATTTTTTCAATTCATTGTCCGGGGGGCACCAAATGTCTAAGGACGGCTCTGTTAGTAAATATATACTCATTCATTTTGAACAATCCATACATAAGTTCATCAGTAGCTGGTGTAGCTTCTATATTAAATTCAGCTACAGGGATATTATTTGCAGCAAGGGCAGGAGCATACATTGCAGCAGGATAAACAACAGCAGATGTTCCAATCACCAAACAAACATCACATTCTCCCAGAGCATTATCTATAACGGAAATATGATTTAGAAACCAAATATGTTTCACATTAAAAACCTCATCACATCATTTCAAAGTAAATTACTGAATTAATAATCGTTTTTGAATTAATTAAGTATCAAATTTCTTTACATAATTGTATTAAAAATGTAGACATACCTGTATCTTTAAGCACATCCTCTTCAAGGTTTTCTCCAAACCAAACAATATGTGGCCTTAGCAAACCACCACAACTCTTACAATGTGGCAAATCATTCAAGGGTATTTCTGGTCCTTTAAAATTAGGATCAGGTGCACTAGGAATAACAAATCACATTAAAATGTCCATAAATATTCTATGAAAACTTATAAATCCCTGCTTAGTACTTCAATGTACCCCTGCTAAAAAATTCAGATTGAACTAAAACGAAAAACACTAAAAAAACTAAGGTGTGTACTTTAGAAGTGATAACATCAACAAGGCGAGATTAATAATATGAAATGTAAAATATGAATAATAGCTCATTATAAAGAGGAAGAAATGCTGACAATTTTCCTCGCTTACAATATGCAGGACCGATTTTTAGTTTCAGAGATATTTTAATCCATATCTTCAATAAAACTCATTATAATATGGTTTTCGAACGATATTTTTTCCATTTTCGCCTTTCTAACACGGTGTCACATTAAGATACAATTTTGAATAATAGTACATTACAGAGAGGATAAAATGCTGAACATTTCCCTCACTCACAGTATGCAGCTCCAATGTTTTGTTTTTGAGGTATTTTAGTCCATATGCAAGAACACAACAATTAGTCGACTCCAGCCGACTTTACCCAAGCGTTACACATCGGAGATATGATGGTCAATCTAATTCAATCTCCACAAAAAAAAGTGCAACACGAGCCTATAAAGTATTCCCTTAAAAAAAAAAGAAAGGTAGACTAATTCTTTAACTTAAAAAAGTCAATCCTGTCAGCAAATTTTGAACTAATACCACTTTTTTTTTTTTTTTTTTATTTGGGTTTTATACAACTTAAGGAGTCATATCCCCAACACCCAAAAGCCACTGCTCCCTGTCCATCCAATCTCCTTCACGAAGCCCTCTGGCTGCCATGCTTTCCTCCACGTCCTCTATCCATTTCTTCTTTGGCCTTCCACGCTTCCTTCTTTCAGGTGGCATATAGTTATAAATTTTCTTTGGCCAGCGGTTCTCATCCATCCGCATTAAGTGGCCATACCACTTTAACCGTTTGGTCCCGATCAGGTGAAGGATGTTCTTTTGACATCCGACCTTGTCTCTAATTGCTGCGTTTGGGATCCGCTCGATTCTGGATATGCCACAGCTTCTTCTCCAGAAATCCATTTCCATGGAAAGCAACTTATTTTCCATCTTTTTTGTCAGTGTCCAGACTTCTGATCCGTAAGTGGCTACGCTTTCTACAAAGGAATGGTACATCTTTTTTTTAGTTTCTAATCTTATTTCTTTCCTCCATAGGGTTGAATTTATCGAACTTATTATTCTTTTCCCATTATTTATTTTATGTTCGATATCAACCTCACTACCACCCTTTGAAGATAACCAGTATCCGAGGTACTTGAACTGCTGGCTGACATTTAGCGTCCAGTCATCAATTTCAAGGGGCAAATTTGAAAACCATATACTCTGTTTTACTTTCACTGATTTTCAGACCCCATCTGGAATACGTGTCTAGCAACTTCCTCATCATATAGCTAACATCATCCGGATCCGATGCGATTATGACTTGATCATCGGCATACTGCAAATTGTAGATGACATCATTCCCGATTTGAACACCCATTCCACAGCACGATCTTTTCCAGTTTTTAAGGGCTTGTTCTATATAAATGTTGAAAATCAGGGGTGAAAGGCAGCAGCCCTGTTTCAATCCTTTGTTAATGAAGAAGCTTCTAGACACTCTATCTCCAATTTTTATAGCCCCCGCTATATTTTTATAGAGCTCTTGAATTGCTCTGATGAGGTATCTCTTAATAGATGTGGCTTCCAAAGATTTCCACAATTTCGCTAGAGGTACTGAATCATAGGCCTTGTGTAAATCTACAAATATCATATGGAGTTCACGGTCGTGGGCCATCCTCTTTTCTATAAGTTGTGAGAGACTAAAAATGTGATCAGTGCATGATCTTCCAGCTCGAAAACCCGCCTGTTCCTCGCTGATCTCTTCCTTTAAATCATTTTCAATTCTGCTTTTAATTATCCGGCCGTATAATCTACTCAGCGAGCTGGTAACAGTAATACCTCTGTAGTTGGAAACGTCTTTCTTTTGGCCTTTTTTGAAAACTGGAGTGATATAATCCTGTTTCCATTCTTCAGGAATCTCTCCACCATTTAACAGAAGTGTCATACTTTCTGCCAGTGCCATTTTGAGTTTGGTCGGGCCTGCTTTAATTAATTCAATTGATTCAATTAATTATTTGATTAATTCAATTAATTCAATTTAATACCACTTCTGATTCAAAATACTAAGATGGTGCCTCAACATGGTTAGCAGCCTTGACTAACAAATCAAGTCTATCAAAACTTTTTTAAATTTCTTATCAAAATTAAACAGAACTTATAAAACATAAACAACAAAATGTAAAAAATTTATGAAATTGTTTTTTTATCATAATAGTACGAAGATAAAACATTCTTGTACAGCTCAATTGGATACTAAACAGAAATTTGAGCTACAATAGAACCCAAGTGATAAAAAATGAAAAATAATAAAAAAAAAGGTTCATATTTAATGAAAAACTTGAAATAACAGTGCATCTGCTAGGTGTGGTGGGGACTGGGGATGTGGCCTGGCTTCCAAACCTCTCTCAGGTACAATTTATAAGCATGTACTTGGAAAGCAATTAAAATTCTTCTCTTTCAAGGAACAAAAACTTAAAATTTATATTTTATGTAATTTTCTACAAAAATATTTGCTATCAATGACGCTTATACAGCTACAATGTCTAGAACAGCCCATTGTGCACCGACGCTTAATGTATGCCTCTACTAAACATAACACTCTCAAACTTCAACCAGATCTACATTATAATCATGTACTACTAAAAGCAACTGAAATAAACTTTAAACAAAATATTTTTACACAGAGACGCCGGGATGAAAGAAAAAATGACAGATATTTCCTGGATGGAAGTTTCAACTATGGAAAAACTACTCTAAACTAAAAATTACATATTTAACATTTAACAGTATGAGCTATGTGCCAGCAGTATGTGAAGTATGTGCTGAAGTGTCTACACTCCTGTGACATAGTTCTATCTCCATCACTTTACTTTAACACTAATTATCTTTGCAAGTATGCAGACGAAATTCATGACTTCTTGTGTTTTTGTTGTTGTAACCTAATCTTCATCAATGTATAAAAATTCAAAATTATTGCAAGTACCCAATTCAAAGCAAAAAATGTGAAATATTACGCTATCTTAGGAAACATACTTTTTATTAAAATGTGTAAATATTTAAATATAACTGTGGCAATATGCGTTGAAGTGTTTAGAAGTGATGTCCAATATTTTTTGGGTGGTTTACTTTGGGCTGTTAAATGAGATGTGTTACCTTTCATTTGTCTATCAGATTTGATTTGCCAAAATATTCATTGGTTAGTAACTTAGTCATCAAATAATTATTTTAATTAAAATACTGAAAATTTCATAAGAGAATAATAATATAATTATGGAGTAAACCGGACAGGACGTTTAATAAACTAAAAAGAATATTTTTTTTCTATCTGTTGGCATTTCATTTCATGTAGATCTTTTGACACCTTAACGAGCCTGCTCCATCTCTGCCTATCTTGGGCTATTTCTTTCCAATTATCTGCACACAGGTCTACTGTGTCTTTGTTGATTCAGTCTATCCATCTGCTCTTTTGCCTTCTATTAACACATTCATTGTTACATAGATGCTTCCAGATGGATTGCTACGAGCTACATGCCCCACCCATCTTAATCTCCATACTCTCATGTCGTGATATATTAATTAACCAGTTTTTGTAAGCAGTTCTTTATTTGTCTTTCTTCTCCGTGTGTTGGTATTCTGATCCTATATCGCTCAGTGAATAAATAATTATGAAACTGAATTGCTCTAACTAAAAAGAAAACACTTTCATCTACATTCAGACACACTTGACCAGGATTCCATTTATGGTAAGATCATGAGATAAAGTGCCACCTATAAAAGTGGGGTGACATTTTCATTGCACTACCTATTTAACAAATAAAAAAATATTCTGAGTTAAGAAAATACATCAATTCAATTTCTTACCCTCTATTTTTAAAAGCTGGTGTGATTGGTGAGTCTGTATTATCTGATATTTGAGAACATTTAGTGCAACGTGTTTTAAAAAGATTTCCATGTAATTCAATTACATTATTAGAACCAGCTCGTCTATGTAGTCCATCAACATTCTGTGTTACCACAGTTAGTTTTTTCCCACATTCAGCTAATTTTTTCTCAGCAGAGGCAATTGCTACATGAGCCTAAAAAAGTTATTAAACAAATATAACTTTCCACTAGTAATAATTGCATTTAATGTGGATGTAGTCTTGAAATGAAAATTAATGAATAAATAATAAAATATTCAGTAAATTAAATTTTAAAAATACTTAATTTTCGAAGTATTTTTTAATAATTTAATTAATAAGTACCAAATAAGAAGTTATTAAATACAAGTCAAATTGTAAATAATGAATGGTCATTACTTTGTTGGGTTGCTTTGTCAAAACAAGTTCTCGGCGGTAATGATAGAATTCCCAAACCAGGGAAGGAGATTTTTTAAAAGCTCCAGGTGTTGCTAACTCTTGAGATCTGTATGTTCTCCAAAGTCCTCCTGATCCACGAAATGTAGGAATTCCAGATTCTGCAGAAATTCCAGCCCCAGATAAAACCAACACCTTATTTGCTTTTAGTAAAATTTGATGAAACTTAGACATGTCTTTAATAGGATGGTTCATTACTTGTTAGTTTTAATCCTATCAACACTAGCCAAAAACAATAATTGTTTAATAAATATAGTACACAAAATGTCTTATGTAAATGTATAATATTAAGAGAAGAGGACGAAATTTTTAATAAGAATATATAAATAGTAAAATAATAGGATCAAACTGAAGTATCAAAATGGGCACTTCATTCAGTGATAAGCATTAATTGTGACAAGTTATCAACTGCCTTCAATTGCAAGTTCATGAACACATATCAACAAGTTAATGCAAAGAGCAACTCAGAATACCTACAATAGAAAGGATTGTTGGAAACTTAAATGCTATTGATTCTGATAAATAAGTGATAGATGCTCCATTAAAAGTCTGAGTAAAGTTATTTCAGAATTTACTATTCTCTCTTTAAATTAATTCATAAAACAATCGCATTACTAGACCGATTAATTTCTAAATCTTCTCTGAAATCGTAAACTTTTCTCTTCAAATTAGTGGAAGGTCCTATTATCAACCTATTTGCGCACAAATTATTCATATTGTAAACAATTTGACAGGAATTATATATTATTATATTCAATGGATTGAGTGTATTTAAATTGTTAAGCCTTCTTACTGATACTGTAGCCCCAGAAGAAACTGTGGAGTTTCAAGTTGTCTTTTTTTCATGTTTGTTTTCTAATTATAAACTGTATTGTAATATTTATTTTGTTTTAAGGAATATTAATAAAATTAATATTTTATTTTTATTTTTGGATGGTGGCACTTGGTAAACAGGGAACGAGCTGATTTTGTATTATTGTGAGCTTATGTTTTTAAGAGCTTAAGGTAGGGTAGGGTTTTTAGGGCGATAAATTGCAGCATCATTACGTCTGTTTAAGAGCTTAAGACTTAAAAATAAAGGTTTTATTTGGGTTAAGATATTTTTACAAAACATGAAATTGGCGACGAAAGGTTTCGAACCTCATAACCTACAACTATTATATATATGAACATTCTCGGAACTCAGTCTGGAGATTGACACACTTTGTCTATTTAATTAGTTAGTTAGCGTGGCTCTACAATCCGGTATCGAATCTTGGCCTCCTCCAGCAGCTTACGCCAATTGCCTCGGTCCCCTGCAGCCGCCATCCAATTCCGAAGCCCCAGCATATTTATTGCAACAGCATCAGCCCATCGCAGCTTTGGTCCATGGAGTGGCTCCATTAGTAATTGTGTTGGTGGATCCTCGCTACCCATCCTAATGACATGTCCTGCCCATCTCTGTCTTGCCATTTTTATCACTCGAACTATATCGGACTCCTTAAACATGGTGTACAGCTCCTGTTTTTTTTTTTCTCCTTTTCCACTCTCCTCCGATGAGAACACCACCATATATGCGTCTGAGGATTCTTCTTTCAAAGATTAGGAGTTCCTGTTCATGAGCCGGGAGGTAGTCCAAGTCTCACAACCATACAGCAAGACTATCCAGTCTTGATCCAGCACTATCGTCTTATAAAGACAAAGCTTCGATTTTCTGGAAAGAGCTCTACTCCGGAACTACGTTGCTATAGAAAAATAGCACCGATTTGCTGCTATGATGCTACGCCGAATCTCTTGTTCAGGTGCGTTGTCTTGAGTTACCAATGAGCCAAAATATACAAAAACATTAGTCTTCTCGAATTGGTACTCCTCGAAAGTAACCTCCTCTCCAGGCCTAGATAACTCTCTCGCAACCATATATTTTGTTTTTACAGCATTGACTTCCAAGCCTAGTCTTCTCGTAGGGCCCCCAGAGCAAGGAAAGCGTCCGATACAGCCTGGAAAGAATGTCCTATGAAATCTATATCATCCGCGTAGGCAAGGATCTGTAGAGATCTATTAAAGATGTTGCCATTGGTCTGTATTCAGCATCTCTCACTGCTTTCTCGAGTGCAAGATCAAAGAGAAGGCAGGCTAAGGCATCTCTCTGGCTTAATCCCTTTATTGAGGGGAATTCGGCCGATCTCTCTCCACCGATCTGAAACATGAAGCTTACGTTCATTGTAAGCCTCACGAGGCTTATGAGCTTGCTAGGAATCTTAAAATACTTCTGAGCCTCATACAACTTTTCCTTATTCACGCTATCATAAGTTGCACTAAAATCGATAAAGAGGTGGTGAGTTTTAATCTTGAATTCCATTCCTTGCTCGAGAATCATGCTGAGGCAGAATATCTGATGGGTCGTGGACTTACCTTTTCTGAATCCGCACTGGTATCGGCGGAGCATTCTCTCCGCATGGAGTAGCACAGGCTTGAAGAGGATGTTTGACAGGACTTTGTATCCGGCAAACAGGAGGGAGATCCCTCCGTAGTTGGAGCACTTCATTCGATCGCCCTTCTTAAATATAGGGCAGATGAGTGACTTGGTCCATGGGTCCGGTAAAACTTCATCTGTCCAAACGGTGATGAGGAGATCCTGCATATCCTTCACTAGTTCGTTTCCTCCGCACATGATGAGTTATGTGGAGAGCCCATTAGCACCCGGAGCCTTGTTACTTTTTAATCGGTTCATGGCCTCGAGGATCTTATCTTCTAAAGCTGGCTCTTTATTCTGTTTCTTTCTCACTGTGGTCTTCGCCTTCTCTACCTAATTCCTCATCGTGTTCCAAGGATCGCTCATTGAGGAGATCATTGAAGTGACGCCTCCACTGGGACAGAGCTCTCTGCTTGTAGGAAAGCAGATTCCCCTCATGGTCGTTGCAGATGTATGAGACATTAGAATAGGATTTTCGACTCCAGTTTATTTTCCTATAAAAATCTCGGAATTCCTTATCTCCAAAAAATGTTTCCGTCTTCTCCAGTTCCCCTTCCTCCCAATTTCTTTTTCTTCTGCGATGCAGACGTTTCTCCTCGAGTCTCCTCAATCGATATTCATCAACGTTTCTCCATGTAGTTTTATTAACCATGACCTTGTAGGCTTGGTTCTTCTGGTTCGTAGCAGCTTCGCATTCCTTGTAAAACCAGTGGGATCGATCTTTTCTATCCTGCCACCCTAAGATCTTTTCTGCATTCTTCTCCATTGCCTAAGCACAGATTTTCCACTTAAGGTAAGTGTCACCATTACTTCTTTGAGCGGGGATGTCTTCTTCCAGCTGTTCCATATACTGTGTGCTTGTGTCAGGGACCTTCAGTTTGTCCAGGTTGAACCTCTTACCTCTTTGTCCAAGAGCCCACCGCTGTGTTTTTATCATGGCTGTCAGGTGAGCAACACTGAGATAGTGGTCAGAATCTACGTACGCTCCACGATGTTCTTACATCTTGTTGAGTGGATCTACGTCTGCCATCCACTAGAAAGTGGTCAATTTAATTGACAGTTTTCTTGATATCCAGGTTCCCTTATGTATCCTCCTGTCCGGGAAGAGTGTCTCTCCAAGAACTATTCCCTTGGATACTGCGAAGTTGACGAGGCGCTGGCCATTTTCGTTAATTACTTCGTGAAGGCTGTGACTCCCTATAGTAGGGCTATAGATTTCTTCCATTCCAATCTTAGCATTGAAGTCTCCAGCGATGATCTTGACGTCGTAGCTTGGACAGGCGTCGAGGGTTCTTTCAAGAGATTCATAGAACCTGTCCTTTTCTTCATCATCACCTATTTCCGTGGGAGCGTGCGCACAGATGATGCTGTAATTGCAGGAACTCCTCCCCCCTCCCCGTATTCTGATGTGGCATATTCTGGGATTCACAGGTTTCCATCCAATCACCAGCCGTCTGAATTTACCCGTAAAAATGAAACCCACACCAAACTCGTGGGTGTTCTCACGCCAGCTGTAAAATATGGTGTGGTTCTTCTTCTGCGTAATGCTTTGGCCCGTCCATCGGATTTCCTGGATGGCAACTATGTCCAATTTGTAAAAACCTGTTTGATCTAGGAGCAGTTTCAGTGATCCAGGTCGGTATAAGGACAAGGTGTTCCAATATCATATGTCAAAGTTCTTACCATTGGGCTCGCCTGGTCGTTTCCTTGAGAGACTGATCAATTCCATGGCTGTTTTAGGTTTAGTGATCCAATTATTTAAGGAGAGCTGGTTATCAGCTAACTGCCCCCGAGTCAAGTGGAGGGGCTGCCTCCTCAGAGCTCCCTGACTCGCTCCTTTATCCAGGGCGACTACCTAGGAAAGGTGACCCTAGGGTGAGTATTGTTAATGGCCTTTATCTGTAGTGTGGGCCACAGGCGGATTTACGAGAGGGGCTTTCGGGCTGAAGCCCCCCCCCCCCCCAAAACGGTAAAATATAACCATGTTTTACAGAAAAAATATTAAAAACTATCTTTTAAAGTATTATTGTTCGTGTAATTACATTTAATGGGACTTCAAGAATCACTTAAATACCATTTCATATAGGTACTTCATTTCTTTCTTTTAATTAATTAATTAAATTAATTATCGTTATATATATGAAAAAAAAAATCTTACGGGCTGAAATTACCATATTCTGAGATTATTTCGAAGCAATCTAAAGGTGCATTTAGACTAAGGTGACCAGACGTCCTGCTTTGTAAACAATTTGTCCTGCGTCCTGCGCCGTTTTAAAAAAAAATCCAATTTTCGAAAAGAATGTACGGCAATTGTCAATTGTCGCAGACACGTCACATGATGCATCTTACTGCTGCTAAAACTCGCATTGCCTATCAAGCACGGTAGGGATGTCATTAAACAAATATTGTTAATTTTCTAATGTTAAACTTTAATAGTACCGAATAATTGTTGAGGCTGATTATCGAGGACTGCTTAGCAAAGTTCGCATTGTTGATCAGTTATTAGAATTCAACCACTATTGTTTGGACTTAAGAAACAACCCGAAAATGTTTGTTTTAATAAGGTGTCGTTATTAAATATATATATATTGATAGGAAAAGGTTAAATCTTTAGCATCAGAAAATTAACTTCATTTGCTACTTCGATTAATGAAATTTCGTCACATTCAATAAGTTTTATATAATTTCGGAGAACTATTTTATTGCGTACAAACTACTTGCACAAAATATCTAAGTCTTAAAAATTTTGTTATTATTGAAGCCATAAATTATAGGTGAAATAAATCATCAAATTATTCGTTCTCAAAAATACGTTTTCAAAACTAAATTCTCAACAATATTTTAGCTGAATACTATGTCACCGTATTAACATTTGCACCAGATTATCATTATGTAAAATAAATTATTGTGACAACAAATGTGAACCAATCCCTCCCACACTGGTCAATGGTTTCCCGCTTACCACAATGTTAAAATTTTGGCAGTTTAATTTAAAAAATTCACAAACTATGGGACAAACAAATATATAAATGTT